CGCCGGATTGCATGTAGCCACCGCGCCTCGCGTCGTGGCTGAATCGCCAATGGATCGTGCCGGCGTCGCTGCCGAATCGCCGATGGATCGCGCCATGGCCGCACGCTGCCGCGTCTATATCGCGAGAGATATGTGTCACTTTAGTGAGAAAAAATCGGCGATGGTTAGTTAAATTATCCCTGGATAATTATGGATTAAATCTTATTCAAAAAATTAACGGACCAGTGCAGCTATACCCGTTAGGGGGAGGTTCGATCGGGTAGATCGCTGGTTGAATGGTTGGACGGTGGATGGGAGCAGGTGTACGTACTCCTAGGTGTATAGAATCATTTTCCTATATATATATATGTATATATATATATATGTATATGTATATATATGTATATGTATATATATGTATATGTATATATATGTATATATATATATAGGGTAAGACTATTCTACACCCCCTACCCTTCTCATCCCGTATCCCTCTCTCCCTCCTCCCGTCGCTCCCCCTCCCTCCTGATCCCCCTCCCTCTCTCCCGATCTTCTCTCTCTCTCTTCCCCTCCCCTCCCTTCCGTCCTCACTCCCTCCCGATCCTCTCTCTTTCTCTTTCCCTCCCTCCCGGCCTCCCCCTCCCGCCTTCTCTCTCAATCCCCCTCCCTCCTCCCGATCTCTCTTTCTTTTTTCCATTTTTTCGGTTTTTTTCTTCCTAAAACATTTTTTCTCTTTTCTAGAAAAATAAAAAATAAATTGCTAAATTTAAGACTTGAACCCATGACCTTATAGTTCAAAGCATATTCTTCTAACCAATTCATCTAATGATTCTATTTGTTTCAAGAATTTTGTGAGAAAGTAATATGATTATCAATTCTAATATCTTTCACTACCGAAACTCATAACATGTTACTATGCTCGAGTAGTAATATTGTTGTAAAAGTACAGTAATACGTGACGTTATTGTAGAACACATAGGACATTACTACACTTTTGGCAGTAATGTCGTAGTAAAATTGTAGTAGACCAGGAATCGAAACAAAAATATATGGGTTAAAGCGTCACATGCTAACCATATACTTGTTACTGCACAAAAGTAGAAGTATTACTACATAATAGGTGCATGTTACCACTTTCAAGTAGTTATGTTACTGCACAATAATGGTAGTTTTACTGTGTCAGTTTTACGAGATGAAGATCAAATAGGTGGGCTATAGGTAAAGTCTTTAGGTGGCTTTGAGTGAGGTCTGATTGATGTAGGAGTGTTTTGAAAAATTTTATACATTTGGTAAAACTATGTTACTGCATATATATACTCATGTTACTGCAAATTACATATTATGTTACTGCATATGGAGTGTTAAAGTTCAAAATGCCAATATTTGAAAAGCAATATCTCACAAGATATGTATTATTTTTTAAAACCGTTTTCACAATGATGCTATAGTATTACTGCTTGTGGAGGATAGAACTTCAAAATACATCTACATATTCCCCTCCTCAAGAAACCGTTCTTCCTCCCTCTTCTTAAGAAAACCGGTCTTCTCCCACTAATATAGTTTTACTGCATGCATGTATATGACGTTACTGCACTTTTGACAGTAAATCAGGAATTGAAACAAAAAATATATGGGTTCAAAGTCTCATATGCTAACTATATACTTGTTACTGCACAAAGTTAAAAGTGTTACTGCACGGCATATACACGTTACCACCTGACAGTTATACATTACCGCATGTTTATGCAGTAACACTATCCAAGAACTGCAGTAAAACACTTTGTTACTGTAGAACGTACAGAACGTTACTGCATATTTGGTAGTAACATCGTGGTGAAATTGTAGTAAACCAGAAATAAAAAAAATATGGATTAAAACACACGAGTAAACTGAGTCAATTCCCCATATTCTTGTAGTAATGTTATCAAGTAATTGCAGTAACACACTATGTTAATATGAAACTTATAATTGTTGTAGTAACGACATGATGTGATTGCAGTAACGCAAAACATGCACTAGTAACACTTTTGATATACTATTACTGTTTGTGGAGAGTTAAATTTTTAAAAACAAATCTTTGAAGGGCAATATCTCTCATATCATGTACTACTTTTAAAAACCGTTTGCACTATGATGTTCGAAAAAAAGTGCTTATCAAAAGTAGATCCATCATGACTATATTATGACTGAATTTCAATTCTGTTACTGCAAGTAAAACACGGTGTTACTACACGATGAACAAGACGTTACTACGTCGTTCCGGGATGAGAGCTAAGAAGAGAGGGGGTGGTGAGGGAAGTCACTGCGGGTTTGACCGAGATTTGACCGACATAGGGGACCTTTGACTAGCCTTTGACTGAAGTGGGAGGTGGGTTTTGGGCCCTTAGAAGGAGAGGAGGTGGGTTGGAGGGAGGGAGGTATAGTATAGCTCTTCTATACTCGGGTGTAGAATAGTTTTTCAAGGGCCAAACCCACCTCCCACCTCAGTCAAAGGTCGGTCAAAAGCATCCCACGTCAGTCAAACCGTGGTCAAACCACTTGCTAACTCCTCCCACCACCCACCTCTTCTCAGCTCTATCTTGCGGAACGGTGCAGTAACGCGACGGTCAACGTGCAGTAACACTACGTCTTACGTATAGTAACAGCGCTCAAATATTGTTAAAATATAGTCATGATGGATCTACTTTTGATAAGCATTTTTTTCTAGCATCACGGTGCAAACGATTTTAAAAAATAGTACATCATGTGAGAGATATTGATCTTCAAATCTTGGCTTTTTTAGAATTTGACTCTCCACAAGTAGTAGTACTATAGCATTACTTGTTACTACTGTCAGTTGCACGTTACTGCAATCCCATCGCATCGTTACTGTAAGAGTGTAGTAAAAATTATAGGTTTTTGCAGTAACTATATTTTACTGCATTTTTTGGATAGTGTTACTTCATAAACATGTGGTAACGTGTACCTGCCTTTGCAGTAACACTCCACTTTTATGTAGTAACAAATATATTTAGCATGTGAGACATTAACCCATATATCCTCCACATGCAGTAACACTATAGCATCATTGTGAAAACGGTTTTAAAAATAATACATATCTTGTGAGATATTGCTTTTCAAATATTGGCATTTTGAACTTTAGCACTCCATATGCAGTAACAGAATATGTAATTTGTAGTAACATGGTTTTACCAAATGTATAAAATTGTTCAAAACACTCGTACATCAATTAGACATCACTCAAAGCCACCTATAGACTTCACCTATAGCCCACCTATTCGATCTTCATCTCGTAAAACTGACATAGTAAAACTACGATTATCGTGCAGTAACATAACTACTTGGAAGTGGTAACATGTACCTATTATGTAGTAACACTTCTACTTTTGTGCAGTAACAAGTATATGGTTAGCATGTGAGGCTTTAACCCATATATTTTTGTTTCGATTCCTGGTCTACTACAATTTTACTATGACATTACTGCCATAAGTGCAGTAACGTCCTATGTGTTCTACAGTAACGTCACATGTTACTGTACTTATACAACAATGTTACTACTAGAGCATAATAACATGTTATGAGTTTCGGTAGTGAAAGATATTAGAATTGATAATCATATTACTTTCTCACAAAATTCTTGAAACAAATAGCACCATTAGATGAATTGGTTAGAAGAATGTGCTTTGAACTATGAGGTCATGGGTTCAAGTCTTGAATTTGACAATTTATTTTTTATTTTTCTAGAAAAGAGAAAAAATGTTTCAGGGAGAGAAAAAAACAGAAAAAAGAAAGAGAGAGAGATCGGGAGAGGGAGGGGAGGAGCGGCGGGAGGAGGGAGGGAGGGAGGAGGAGAGGGGAGCGATGGGAGAGAGAGAGAGAAAAAAACAGAAAAAAGAAAGAGAGAGAGATCGGGAGGGGGAGGGGAGGAGCGGCGGGAGGAGGAGAGGGGAGCGATGGGAGAGAGAGAGAGAAAAAAACAGAAAAAAGAAAGAGAGAGAGATCGGGAGGGGGAGGGGAGGAGCGGCGGGAGGAGGGAGGGAGGGAGGAGGAGAGGGGAGCGATGGGAGAGAGAGAGAGAAAAAAACAGAAAAAAGAAAGAGAGAGAGATCAGGAGGGGGAGGGGAGGAGCGGCGGGAGGAGGGAGGAGGAGAGGGGAGCGATGAAAAAAACAGAAAAAAGAAAGAGAGAGAGATCGGGAGGGGGAGGGGAGGAGCGGCGGGAGGAGGGAGGAGGAGAGGGGAGCGATGCGAGAGAGAGAGAGAGATCGGGAGGAGGGAGGGGGAGGTGAGGAGCGGGAGGGGATATAGAATAACTATTCTATATATATATATGTATGTAGGGTAGCGCTAAACCGCACCCAGGGTACGTAATAACTAAAACGCTCCCCTCACAACCTACCCCCACCCCACCCCACCCCCGGTCGGCACTCCCACCCCACCTCCCTCTCGTCCGCTCCCACCCCCACTTCCCTCTCGTCCGCCAACCGCCACCCACCCCTTCCGTTCCCACCCTTTTTTCGATTCCCACTGCTTCTCTTCCCTTTTAGTAAATAAATTACTAATCAACATATTAATCTTGCCACGAATTTTCTTTTAGTAAATAAATTACGTATAATCAACGTATTAATATTGCCATGATTTTTTCTTCGGTAAATAAATTATTTCCGGTGGTTTATTTTTATTTTGTTGGCTGCCACGAAATTTTCTTCGGTAAAATAAATTACTCCCGGTTTATTTTGTTCCCCTCCTTTGTGTTGGCTTTAAGTAAAAAAATTACTCCCGGTTTATTTTATTCCCCTCGGTTTTGGCTTCAAAGTAAAGAAATTACTGTCGACGAAACATATTGATCCATTCCCCTCCTTGGTTTTGGCTTTTATGTAAAGAAATTACTATTGCCAGAACATATTGAATCTAGCAAGAATTCCGTTCCGGTTCTAGTGGTCTTATGTCAGTAGATGAATTACTCTATGCGTAGACATAACTTATAGCCCGCTTTCTATCAGTAAATTAATTACTCACAAGTTAGATTAAAAAAATTTTGATCGAGTAAATTAATTTCGGTATTACATCAACGATGTGATCACACATGCAATGTGGTACATTGGTAGAATAAACAGAACTAATTAAAGATCACAACAGCTCCAGTAAAAAAATCACAACAGCAACACCACTGAAGGATACGGTGATGAAGATTGATGCCAAGACTAATACGACAATGTAGATCAAGGTCAATGATCCATCTATGCATGCACGAATCCAACAAGCAAGACAACGCCAATAAAACAAATCGACGTTGAGCCGACGAAGTGCTGCATATTCTCAAGTCCTCCCTGTCGACAGATATCTGTCACCACGGCCGTCTGGAGAGGCATTCTCATAGCCATCTGGATAAAAAAAATGAAGGTTACTTCTAAGTATCACAAATCAGCAAAATAAATATGATTTCACTTAAACCTAGTATTTCATAGCCATAATATTGCTGTTGTGAATTGCTTTGCCATAAAAGAAAGCAAACATTTTTTTTCCATATAGAAAATAACTCTGAGAATCAACGAGATACTTAATTGAACCAATCCCCCCATCATACAGTTTAATGACCTTGTAAGATGCTAGCAGCAGCACTGCACTAGAAAGGAAAGCACAATCTGAAATTAATCATGCAAAAGGCTGAGATGCAGCATCCACCACCATGACAATGCATCAACAAAACATGAACCTCCATGAGCAAAGCAATACCAAGAAAACAAGAACCGGCACGAAGAAACCCAAGAAGCGAATGGATCCAACGATGATGAGCATATACAAGGACCTCCAGCAGACAATGGGTGCGGACACCGGTAACGTGTGCACTACATATCTAACCAAAAAGAACTTTCATTGTAACAGGTTTAGCAATCTCAAGAAGCTCATGGTTCTGATTCAGTGACAGATAAGTAAATTGCTAACAAATCGGCTACTATGTAACATTATATTTATGTGCAGGCACCAAAAATATAAATAGAAGGACAAATCCAAGCCTGAAACCTGACAATGCAGGCACCAAAAATATATATGGGTTGGGAACTAATGCATTATGTCCCCATCATCAAGCAAAACGACAACATTTGTACAACAATTCAAGAACCTAATCAACAGGACCATATGCACTGAGCAGTCTAGAAAATATGTATCGATATGCCTGGGGTTAGTTTAGCTCTTTCTTGGTTTGATCTACTAGAATTTTTGTATGGTGTACTTGCATGCAGTGAACATCTTCACAAAATGGAGCGACTGAAGGAGGTTCTTGATTCTGATTTTGGTTGATTCTTCCGGATTTCTTATATGCAACGCTTCTTCGCTACATATTTTCTGCTTTTTCTGCTTTCACAACCCAAGTCATATTTTTCTAAACCGATTTGCAGAAGATATATTGGTTTGAAAGATAAATACTACATAAACCTATACATACATGTACTCCATACAAGATAAACAAAAATTTAATTTAGTGCACCTACTAAATATATACAGATAAACCTACTCACTAAACATGGGAAACATTTAAACAGGTCAGGGATTCATTCACCAGATGGGGCGTGCAGCTGTGTTGTGCATCTTGTGCTTGCTGGGATGGTGGATTGCTGGTGTGTTGATGGCTTTGTGCAGTGGTGCAGAGATGCAGCAGTGCAGCACGCCGGCACAAGCAGTCCGGGCAGCCAACAGCGGTGAAACGGGGGTTGGCGACCGGGCAACGGAGAAAGCGCCAGAGCGAGAGTAGTGAGGGAGCGACCAACGACGCGGTAGGGCAGCCGACGACAGATGAGACGAGCGGACGGGCGATCGATCTGAAAAAAAAAAACAGCGAACGTTTCCTGCCTTTGCCTCTCCAGATCCGAAAAAAAAAAGGAAAAAAGGTTCGAGGGAGGGGCAACGACAATGGCAGCGCACCTCCGCTCTACGGATTTCACCGCAGTCGTTGACGCCACCTCACTCCTCACCTCGCCGGCCATCAGGGGTTGTGCCAGAACCAGGAGCTAGCAGAGTTGCACGTACCTCCGATGAGTCAGGACGCCGCCGCCGTCGGGTGCTGCCATCCTCTTCCCACGAATCCAGGCGGGGAAATTCTGGATTTGGATCCGGGCTGTCGCCACCCTAGGTTGCCCTCACTCTCCGGCACCGGCGAGAGGGGATAGCCTGTGAACGATTTCTCCTCACAGAGGAAGAAGCGGTGAGGCGCTCCAGGGGTGGGCAGCGGGGCCGGTCGGATCCGCCTCGCCGGCGCTCCTCCTCATCCCCTCCTCCGCCGCCGGCGCTCCTCCTTGTCGCCGAGACGCCGCTGCGCAGCTTCCTCTGCACGAGGAGCCACATGCCGATCCGGCCACGACCCGACGACAACCCCGGGCAACACACCTCGAGCAACGGCGGGAGAGGGTGGTGATTAAGTCGGCCGCCCGTCGCCTGGACGCCGCCACCCTTGGCCGTAGGCGGGGCGCGCCGCCGCTGTTGAACTGCTCCATCGACCGCCGCAGCCATCGCTCTCCTCCTTGCCTCCGCTGCGCCGCTAGATCCGTAAAAAGCGGAACATATATATGTATACATATATATACATATATACATACATATATATATACATGTATATAGATATATACATTCATACATATATACATGTATATAGATATATACATTCATATATATATATATATATATATATATATATATATATATATATATATATATATATATATATATATATAGATCCGTAAAAAGCGGAACATATATATGTATACATATATATACATATATACATACATAGATATATACATGTATATAGATATATACATTCATACATATATACATGTATATAGATATATACATTCATATATATATATATATATATATATATATATGTATATATATATGTATATACCTACATATATATATATATATATATGTATACTTATATATATATATATATATACATGTATATATATATGTATATATATATATACCTACATACATATATATATATATACCTACATACATATATAAATATATTTACATACATACATATATGTATATATATGTATATATGTATACATACGTATATATGTGTACATATATATATACGTATATATGTCTAGATGTACATACATACATACATATGTACATGTGTGTGTGTATATATATATATATATATATATATATAAATAATGAATCTATTCTACACCCCTCCCATATAATAACTATTCTACACCTCCCTCCATGGGCCAATCCCACCTCCCCCACCCTTCTTAGGGCCCAAATCCCCCCTCCCACCTCAGTCAAAGGCTGGTCAAAGCTCCCTCCCGCCGGTTAAATCCGAGTCAAACCCGCCCATTGACTCCCTCTGTAACGCCCCGATTTTCGTTTGGGATTAAAAATCAATTAATAATGCATTTCTAGAAATTATATTAAAAGTTAAATCAATTTAATCAAGTGAAATTATAGAGGAAATTAAAATTTCCTTTAAAAAAATCTTTGGCCGGGAATATTTTATAATATTCTTTGTGCCCTAATGTACTCTCCGGAATTTTCCGTGAATTTTCGGAACTCGAGAAATAGTTTTAATAGCACAAAGATCATTGCATCAATTAAAATAAAAAGAAAAAAAAATCCTCCTTCCTCTCTTTGGGCCTCTTTCGGCCCAATCCCTCCTTTGTCTCCCACGGCCCGCGCGCCCCTTATCTCTCCCTCTCGGGCCGGCCTCCTCCCTCGGCCCGCTCGGCTCTCTCTCTCCCTCAAGTCTGCTTTACCTCCCTCGCCCGTTTTCCCCTCTCTCTCCCCGACAGGTGGGACCCGAGGCCCCACCTGTCATCTTCTTCTCCTACCTCCAGCTCCATCCCCAACCGCCGCCATGGCCGCCAAATCCTCCCACGTCGCCGCCTCTCCCGCGCGACTCCCTCTCCTGCGCGTGCGTGGACGCGGTCGTCGCCCACCTCCGCGCCGTTTCCCCCCACTCTCCCCGCAAAATCCGGCCACGTCGCCGCCTCCCGCATCTCTCTCTCCTCCCACGTTGCCGGCCGGTTTCTACCTCTCTCGGGCTCGATCCCGCCTCCCCTCCCCTATAAAAACATTCCCCACACCTCCCTCTCCATTTTCCCCTCTCTCCCGAGCCCTCCCGTGCACGAAAACCACCCCGCCACCGTCGCACCTCCCGCCGCCGCTCGCCGATGACCCTCCAGCCGGTCGCCACAACCGCTCCCACCACCGTCGTTCCGCGCGACCGCCACAAGCGGCTTCGCCGCGTCGTGCCACACCCCGGCGTCCACTCCATTTCCCCTCCCCGCCTCCGAAGCACCGTCGCCACGCGCACCACCTCCTCCACCGAAGCCGCCGACTCCAGCCGGCCGCTGCCGCCGCTACCGCCGTCCCCGTGCCGCGCCGCTTGCATCGCCGGCCTCGCCGCGCTTTGCCGCATCCCGTCCACCGCTCCGCTTCCGCAATAAACCACCCGGGCACCGATTCCACCGTGAACCCGAGCTCCACCGCCACTTTGCCGACTCCGGCAGCGCGCCACCGCCGCCCTAGCCACCACCAAGCCACGCCACCGCCTCTACTGCGTTCGCCGCGCTCCCCCGTACCCCGGCCGCTCCTCCACCTTCGTTGGAGACCGCCGAATCGCCGCCGTCGTCTTCGCCCCGTGGAGCGCCGCCGCCTCCCTCCGCGGCCGCTCCCTCCGTCGCCGCGCCTCTCGGTGAGCCGCCTCCCTCCTCCTTTTCCTCTTTGCCGGCCGCCCGCCGCCGTTCCACGTCGCCAGCTGCTGCCGCCGGTGGCCGCATGCCGCCGCCGCGCCTTGGCTCGGCCGGGCCGGCTTCGTGCCGCGCCTGTGCCCCTGGCTGCCGCTCCCCTCGGCCGCCCGATCGGCTCAGGCCGATCTGGGCCGTCCACGTGGTGGACGCGCACCCGAGGCCACGTGTGGACCATGTCCACCGTGCGCCCTCCCCCTTTGACTCGCTGACATGTGGGGCCCACGTGTCGGCGCCGGCCGCCCCTTGCTGACGTCAGCGAGGTCCATTTCCTTTGTAAAAATAAATAATAATTGCGCAATAAATCGAGTTTAATTCTAGAAATTCATTTAAATGGCTCAAAACTTCTAAAATTCATATCTAATTCATTCGAACTCCGAATTGAGCCATTCAACTTGCAAAATTAATCTAAAATTGAGCTCTACATGTTTGTTTAGTTTTTATGTACTGTTTCCTTGGTTTTTATTAGAGTTTTTCCTCGTTTTGCGTGGAAGCGTGTAGTTCCCGCCGTTTCGGAAGATCGCGGTCGCAAGGATAAGAGTTCGGAAGATTGTTTGAAGAAGAAAGGCAAGTCACACATTCCCCTTGAGCATGTTGATCCTAATTTACAAATGTTTTACTGTTTGCAAATAAATATGCATATTTTGCTAATTACATGGGGTCAGGGTTTTACCTATCTGCTCGCTTGTGCCATGTTTACTTGATATCTGTCCTTTGTCAACCATGGGTAATAAATCGCCTAGCTTGTGTTACTTTGATGACCTAGCTAGAACTATATGCTTAGCCATGCTTAATTACCACTAGCTCAGTCGATGGGATAATTGCAGTATTAGACCTTTTTAGTATCAGAGTGAGCTGCGTTCTCGAGACATCTGGCCATGCTTCATGGTCGTAATTATCCAACTAAAATGCAACTGAATGGTGGGCTGTGGGTGCATGATTTTGTTGGTCGCACCCATGGCAGTTAAGGACCGGTTCGCGGGATGCCCTGGAAGAACTTATCGTACTTACCACAAGCCAGCGTGGGCAATGGCTGGGCTTGTAGTGTAGCTTTCCTCTAGCCGACGCATCCAGGCAAGGGTGGGCGTGATGGAGTTTGGATGGGCCCTGCGACGGCCTATGCGGCTTCCGGATTCACCTAGGCACGAGAGGGGACTGCCCGCTGTCTTGCGAGGAGTGGGGGTGAAACCTGAGGTGTGGTGTGCTTGGTTAGAGGGGTTATGCGAAGGGTCCTGTCACGGCCTCTTTCCGATATGTCGTGGTGCATGTCGGCGCACGGAAACGTGTCGTGGGGCTGTGTCTTGTGGGTACAGTTGTACACCTCTGATCAGAGTAAAACTGTTCGAATAGCCGTGCCCGCGGTTATGGGCGGTCGACCAGATTCACCGTGATTAGTCCCATCTTAATAAATCGACCCAATACATTATAGTTCAGGTGGGTTGGTTGGGCCTGTTCAACGTGGTGTAGCGTTGATCAGTGGAGATTTAATGTTACTTTAATTACTCAACAGTTTTACTGTTTTGCTCAATAAAATGTTTTACAACTGCCTTTCTGCAAATAGCCACAAACCCCTCCTTGTATCCCCTTGCACGTCTGCATCGTTGGTGTGGCTTGCTGAGTACGGTGGTTGTACTCAGCCTTGCTATTATTTCCCCCTTTTCAGAAGTGTAGTGCTTCTGAGCTGAAGATGGAGTTAGAGGACCAAGGCTCAGACCCCAGTTGAGTTTTGCCTGTGGAGTGGAGCTGAAGCCCCGCTAGGATCGCCTTTTTCCGCTGCTGTTGTTCTGTTTCGGTGTGAGGACTAAGTGCCTCTTCCGTAAGTATTTTACGCTTTATTTACGTTTGGAACTGTATATTACTTGTCGTTTTGTGTACCCTGGCTGGTCCTGGACAGGGATTTAATACGCAAAATAGTCTGGAAATTTAGGTTAAATTTCTGGGCGTGACACCCTCCCCCGGCCACCACTTTGCTGTCCTCGTCTCACAAGAATTACGTAGTAACAGAACGGTCATCGTACAGTAACAGGATAATTTTCTTGCAGTAACGACATCAAAAAATAGTCATGATGGATCTAGTTTTGTTATGCACTTTTTTACGAACATTATGGTGCAGACGGATTAGAAAAATAATATATAACATGAGAGATATTGCTCTCTAAAGGTTGAGATTTACTTTTTTTAGTTCTCGTCTCGCTGGAAATGCGTAGTAACGCGACAGTTAATATGTAGTAACACGACTACTTTCCGCAATAACAATGTTATAAAATAGTCATGATGGATCTAGTTTCGTTAAACATCTTGTCTCGATTAATTGTATTATTGTTTAAAGATTAGAATTCTAAAAGTTTACTTTTACTAAGCTTGTTAGTATGTATCTTTGTATATAGAAAGAGAAGTACTTTTAGCACTGATGTTCACTTTGTGACCATGCACAAGCACCTTTTTAGCACTTGTATTTTGCACAATATTGAGATTTAAAAATTTAGCTATGCACAAGTAGTGGTACTGTAATAGTACAGTTACTAACGTATGTTCTCTTTTACTGCAATTTCGTCATGATGTTACTGCAAAAGTGCAGTAACGACCTATAAATTTTACAGTAACGATCTATAAATTTCACAGTAACGTATCATGTTACTGCACTTCTGCGATAATGTTACTACCGAATCATAGTAACAAGGTATGATTTATACAGTAACATGATGGATTTGTGTTCACAAAATTTGAATAGATGTACATAGAAAACAAACAATGATCTCAAATCACAAAGTGTCATAGGGTAAATTGGTTAGGAGAGTTTGTTATAAACCATAAGATCATGTGTTCTATTCTTGAATTCATCAATTTATTTTTAATTTTTTCTAGAAAAAAAAGGAGAGAGAGATCGGGATGGGGAGGAAGAGGAGAAAAGGCAGGAGGAGGAGGAGGGGGGAGGGCGCTGGGAGGCGGGGCTGGGAGAGATCGCGCTGGAGAGGAGGAGGCGGGGCTGCTCGTGATCGAGGGAGGGATGGGCTTGGTAGTTGGGCTGATGGGGGGAGGGGGTGTAGAATAGTTATTCTAAGGGAGGGGTGTATAATATATATATATATATATATATATATATATATATATATATATATATATATATGTATGTATGTGTGTGTGTATTTAAACATATTGCATAGTGTATTAACAGGCAGCAAGCAGCACAAGAAAATAAAAAAAAGAAAAATATCTTTAGTCCCAGCTATTTCAATCAAGACTAAAAATCGACAACTTTAATTAGTCCCGGATTCTCTCTCCCGGTTTGCAACCCGGGACTACAAGGATTTGCAAACCGGAGAGATGAGGGTTTCTCCCGTAGTGATACTCTTCTTGCTCGAGGTCTGTAGGTTGGATCAGCTCAGCAGCTTGCTGCTACTCCCTCTGTCCCATAATAAACACAGTTGTGGGTTTCAGTGTCCAACTTTAACCATTCGTTTTATTTGAAATAATTTTATAATTAGTATTTCTATTGTTATTAGATGATAAAAAATTATGAAAATATTTAAAAAGTTAAGTCACGCATAAAGTATTATGCATGACTTAACTTTTCAAATATTTTCATAATATTTTTAAATAAGACAAACGGTCAAACGTTGGGTATGAAAACTTATGGTTGCACTTGTAATGGGATGGAGGGAGTAGTTTGCAAGCTAGCTAGCTCGCGTGCTCGATCTACTAGTACTCAAGCAATTAAGCTGCATTTGTTACACGTTGCAACAGAAAATGTCGAGGAGGATGCGTTGATGCGTGGTACAAACTACAAAGCCTCGTGTGTGTGATTTTTATTTGTGCATATAAGCTAGTCTGTTCAATCGATCATGTCATTGTCAGTAATTTCTTCCTCCCCTACCATGTTTATTTATTTCTGCAATATACAAGTACTCAGGAATTATCCATGACCTCCGTCTCTTCTTTTGAAAATCTTGAATATCCGTGAATTATATGTTATATTGGATATTGGGAGTACCAAAAGCAGCAGTAGAAAAAACGCAGTCTAGTAGACCGCGACTCCCGATCCTTATGAGTGTTAATGATATTTATGTGATTGCATATCTCTGATATGCTAACCACATAATTAATAAATAAGAGACAAGTATAAACTAAAGTTGATAGTCGAATAATTATGCAAATAAAGTAAAGGACTAAAACTATATAATGAACAATATTTCATTACTGAATGAAGTGTTACAACAAGGATATAAGCTACTAGAACCTTACCTTAATTCTCTGAAAGACTTGAGGAACTAAGGAGACTATTCGAATTCTAACTCCACTAAAGAGTTTCTTCACTTGATCTTTCTTGGTGTGTGTTGGAGGAGAGGTTGAGAGGTCCTTTTATAGCTGCTTATGATGGTTAGGAGCGTGAGAACCAGTAGTAACCATCATTGAAAGGCGGTTACTGTCGACCTTGGCTTGGGCCTGGGCTAGCTGGGCTATGCCTGGGTCGGTCGACCCCTGCCAGGCTCCTCTGGCCCAGTGCTTTCTTCAGGATGTCTCTTGATGGATCCTTGGCCCAGTGGCACAGTGGTTGGGCCCATTTGCAGGTGTTTCAATGGGTTTGTGGGTCCGTCCATCCATATGGACTCCACATGTTAACCTCTGATTGGTTGAACAGTTATTTTCTACCATTTCTCCTCCATTTTATATGGTGATCTCCTGTATACAAATATTTTTCCAAGTACACGTGGAACTAGATTATTTCTAAATAAATATGAATGCAAGTATTGCTAGTTCTCTATTATTCCCAGAAGTATTGACGGTCGAAATTGGTCTATAACGGCCGTTAACAGTGTTCGATACCATTGGAATATTTTAAGGGGAAATGTTACAGCAGTATTCCATGCGCTTGCAGATTTATCTGGGATCGTAAGAAATACCAACACCACTCCTGGCCTAAACTCTACCAATTTAGAAAGTAATACAAATGCATGCAAGAGAGAGATTGCTTCTTGAGTATGTATTGATTGTGAGAGCTTCTCCTCCTTTTATAGCTGTCTAATGACGGTTACTAATGGCAGTTTCACCCATAACCGTCATATGGGACCAATGAGGTAGCTCCACATAAAAGGTGGAGATGATAGGTGTCGAGGAGTGATCCTCTCTAGCGGGTGATTGAGAGTCCCCCTTTTTGTGAGTTCGGCCGGGGGAAAGGGCGCGCTGATCAAGAGCGTATATTCGCCTAGAGTCTTCTGAGACCACGCGTGAGAGCTGGAATTATACAGGTTCGGGCCGCTACGAAGCGTAATACCCTACTCCTGTGCGTGGGATTTTGGGTTGAATGTTACAAAGGTTCCTCAACTCCAGGGAGAACTCTAACTCTTCTTCCCCTGGAGCTTAGGCTAACTGAGAGTCGTCCCCCCCTTTTCGGTGGGTAAGGTCCTACTTTTATAGTTCAAGGGGATATCACATACACCGCCTCTACCTACTCCTTCACGGGAGGGGGACCCACGCCGCTTGGATCGGACCACCATTCGCGCCTTCACCTGGAAGCTAAGCAGCCGTCCGTCCTCGAGTGGGGCCCAGCGCCGTCCCCCGCATGACACGGGAGACGCCCTTGTCATTCCCCTTTAAATGAATGGAGACTTTTGGCGGTTCACCTCACGTGGAGGGAGCTCCAGACGATGCATTGATAGGACGGGGCATACCTGCCCCCACTCTGCCGAGCACAGGGCGGAACGTGGGGGCACTGCCGCCCGTCTGATCGGACGTGACCGCCGACAGACCGGTCACAATCCGGTCATGCCCGATTGACGCGGGTCAATCGAGCAGCGCCGCACGTCCGCCCTCACTACATTAAATACGGTGAGGGACGGTTGGGGCGCTGCGCATTGATGGTGGTTCAGCTTCGATCACCGCCCCACTCACTCCCCCCGCCACATGGCGGTTGGGCGAGGGCCTCGGGGCGAGGCAGCACGAGGGCCCGAGGGGCTTGACGTGGCACCCCGAGGCCCCCTGGCTGCCTCTGCATCGTCCGAGATGTGGGGGGAGGGCCAGGCTGTATGGTCGCGTGGCTGGACGGGAAGGAGACTTCCCCACACTTCGCATACCCCCGGGCCCATATCACCGACAATAGGGGTCAGGCCTAGTTCAACTGAACCACGGTAACCGCCGCAGCCCACCGCCTTTCTTCCTAAGTATGACATGTGGTAATAGGGGAGAGGGAATGGAGAAACTAACATCTTTTGGAGGTGCTACTTAATAAATAATGCATTGTGTGTTGTTTAGCGCTACCGTCTATATCCATGCTTTGAGTATAACTGAATCTTGTATGTTAATAGGATCAATAAACATGTATATGTACATTAATAAACATAACATTAGTAATTATTCTTTCTTAAACTAATGCAGGTTTCTATTGAAAGGATATCAAAATATTATAGTCTCTACATACTCTACAGAAAGAGCAAAGCTCTTGTTCGATCTTCCAGTAGGGATGTAAAAGTTATACATACAAAGTGTAGAAAGCTAATGATTATAATATAATATCTACTTTACAAACTTTTGTACTTCGGTGATGTCAACAAACTCATTGACTCCACTCGTCAGTAGATACCTACAATTTAAAAAATATTATTCAGAAGGAAAATGTAATTGCTTGTTTTGTAAAAGAAAAAGGAAAGAAAAACACAAAGTGAGCATTAGATCAAGACTGTGCACCTGTCAAGAAGATCCTTTGCCATGGATTTGCATCCACCAGGGATAGAAGACTGCATATTTATTGCTATGTTGGGGTTATGTACACTTTGGCGAATGTGGACCCACCCCAGTTCTCCCTTGTACTCATCAAAAAATTTAGCCCTGTTTTAGCAAAATAAAATAATCATGCATGCTAAATGTTTATAATTCAGTAAATTTGCATTAATGGTATACAATTTGTAAACACGACCTTCTAAAATACTCCCTCCATCCCAAAATCTAACATTTTTTAGTACTTAGGATTTATCCCAAAATATAACAACTTCTCCACCAACATTCCCATCCCAACCAATCATGACCCTCCACCATTCACTTTTCCCACCCACCTTCACTTCTCAACCAATCACAACCTCACCCTATTTAATTCTACCTAGTTTCTTAATAACCATGTCCAACTTTAAAACTTATATTTTGGGACGGAGTTAGTACTCATTTAAGTACACAAATTTATGTAGTATGAGTGAAGTCCAAAACGACACACCATAGCTAACATTGCAAAGTTAGGTGCCATATAGGATGTGGTGGCAAGCAAAATCATCTTCCAATTGGATGAATGGGTGAACTTGCCGTTCCGGAACAATGGCCCTCTTCACTATCTAGCACAGACTTGGCAAAGACTGCCAATCGACTGGGTGAAGTTAAATACTGATGGAGCTTTTGTGATGGTTTCATTTTTTTCACGATCTAAAGAAGAAGAGGTTTTCTTAGCGGGTGTGAATCCGGTGGCTTCTACTTCTATTCTGTTGTCTCACTTATGAGGCACATAAGTTTGGAGCACTGGCCGGGAGTGGTCATGCAAAATGACACCGGAGGTTTTATGGCGGCCGTAGCACATTATCATCCAAGGATTCAAGATGCTACCACGGGGAAATTCTAGCTTGTCGCGGGGCAGCTGATCTTGCAGGAGAGTTAGGAGTTTCTAAACTATTGAGTAAAGTGTACGGGCGGTCCTTAAACTTGTAGAGGTATGTCATTTAGGTCCCTAAGCTCTCAAAATGCATATCCAAATCCTAATACTTATCATAGTGTGTCATTTAGGTCCCAAATCGCCACAACCCCTTCAGGATCCTATATGGCGTTGATGTGGCATGCCACACAGACATGACATGGCATTATATTGACTGGCGAATGGGACCCATTTATTTTTTTTCCTTTTTCTTTTTTTTTCTCTTTTTCCCTTTCTTCTCCTTTCTCTATGACCAGTGCAGAAAAAAGGAAAAAAAAGAAGAATGAGAAGAAAACGAAAAAGAAAAAAAAAAGAAAAAAGACACGTCACGTCCATGTGGTATTGCCACATCAGCACCACGTAGAATCCTAGAGGGGATGTGTAAATTTGGACCTAGATGATACACTTTGACAAGTTCTGGAACCTGGATATGCATTTTGAGTTTAGGGACCTATATGACACAACCCTACAAGTTTAAGGACCGCCAATGCACTTTACTCTAAACTAATTATTGAGATTGATTATTTGAAAGTAACGAGGATGGTTGCGCAGAGTGAAGTTAACAGATCGATTTATGGGTGCTTGGTACAAAGATCTGAAGATAAAGTTGATTCTTTGCGATAGCGTTAGTATTGTTTGGGTTAGGAGATTAGTGAATATAGCTGCTTATAGATTAGCGCAGGAAGTAGTGTCTTCGATTAGTTTTTATATTTGGCTCTCTATTGCTCCAGGTTTTATTACTTCGATTTTGGTTGATGATTGTAAACATACAGTCCAATTTAATTGAGTGTGAGAGAGAGCGTGAGTTGGTTGTATGTGTAACACAAGTCTTAACAATACATAATTAATTCAAAGTTTTTTAAAAGTAAACCCTCGACATGATGAAAATCTCAACAAACATGGCAACATTAGTAAAGCACAAACATGATTTCAATTTGCAGCCCTAGAACTAGGATACTAACCATAAGTGTCCCTGTGGCATATTGTTCTCAATGTCTAACTTCAAAAAAATTGCCAAGTGTGCCCTTTCGATGTTGGTTCAAACATATACCACCCAAGTTGGTGCAATGCAACTAGAGTTCTACAAACCTGCACCCTATACTACTCCCAGTCCCACCTCACAAGTTTATATACTATCTGCCTAATTTAGTCTTTCTAATTAGTATGCTGCAACAAAAGAATTATTTATTGGGTAATCTATCCATTCATAAAACCAATAAACATCGTACAAGACATTTACACACCAAAGTGACGTACAAAACACACGCATCAGTGTGACATATGCCAGCATATAGATATTTAGGGGCAATTATGATTTTGACCAATATGCTACCAATTTGATGCTATTTTTTTAAGTTTGCTCATTTGACTATCTTTTTTCAAAAACGAAGAGAAGGTATAACCTTATTAGTTATGTCAACATAACGGTGTTAACTTATGTAAAAAATAACGTTTGTGCTCTTACTTATTTGACCCTATTTTCTTAGTGTTTTTGTTTGACCTAGTTTTATGCTGATTTAAAATTTTGTCTAACATATGTGACAAATTTAAACTAGGTATGACAAATTTAACTTAGGTTTGACTTACATATGGAAGAATTTTGAGAAATTTGACGTAGATTTGACATATTTTGACCAATTTGAATTAGTTTGATATATTTTTGACATATTTGAATTAGATTTGAAAAAAATTACTGAAGATACTAAAAAAATTGACAGCATCTCAGCATCCATCCCAATTTGCATATATTTTTTAACTGCATCCCAAAGTGCATATATCGAAGGAAAAACACAAAACACATATCAATATGTAGTTAATGTCACAAGCAATCACAAAGCAGTTCCCGTACGGAAGCAGTAGTCGAACAGCATGGGAGGATAAGCAGGAGCAGTGGGCAGGAAAAGGCCGAACGAGCAATCAGCGGGTGGACGATGGAGATCTGCAGCCGAGTCGCGCCCTAACTCTAGCCCGAGTCAAGCTCCGTAGACGAGCTACGGCGAGCGTCGTAGCCTCCCACGCCTCCGACAGACCCGGCGGCAGCGACCTCCCGCGCCTCTGCCACTGCCCGTGTAAACCCGAGCCGCACGTATGCGTCCTTGCTGTTGGAACTTGAACCGGACTAACAAGCATTTACTATAAGGAAAAAGTATGAATTACCACCAAACCAGACATTTTTCACCCCCAACTATGCAAACCGGACAAAATAACTCCCCCCCCACCAGCTCAATCCGAGATAGTTTTAATCCTACGTGGCAGTCTAGTCAGCAATATTTTTCCCTAAAATTCAGTGGGTCCCGCCTATCATTTTCTCATAGTCTCCATCTCTTTCTAGTCTATCTCTTTCCCTATTCCCCCTCCCTGTTCTCCCTTCCCTCACCTGCATCACTCACAAGAATCACTTAGGATGGCGGTGAGCGGGGGTGGAGGCAGCGGCGGGCGGCGGGCGGGGGCGGGGGCGGGGGCGAAGGCAGCTGCGGGCGGCGGGCGGAGAGTCGAGGACGGCGGCCGCAGAAGGCGGAGACAGCTGCAGCGGTGGAGGGGGAGTAGAGGACGGTGTCCGGCGGGGAAAGAGGCAGTTGCGGGTGACGTATCAAGGGGGAGCTGAGGACGCCAACTGGAGGGGCGGAGGCAGCTGCGGGTGACAGAGGAGGAGCCGGAGCCGATAATGACGACGCGCACCTGTGGGCAACGGAGGGGAACTTCGAGGACGGTGGCTAGAGCCGAGGATGGCGACGTGCAGCTGCTGGTGACGGAGGGGGAACCGAGGAAGGCGGCCGGTGGGGTTGGAGGCAGTGGCGGAGGGGGAGCCGGAGCCGAGGACAACACGGCTCAGGACCAACTCGCTCTAGATCCATGCCTACTAGAGCTCGTGCGGCTGGTGCGCCCTCAGCGAGCTCTTGCCTTATCCCAGCTTCCGTCACCATCTTCAGGCTGCTAGCTCGATGGAAGCAGCCGCCGCCACCGCCGTCGCCAGCTTGTGGAAACGCGGCTTGAGGGGTTAAGCGTGACCATGGTCGCTGCGTCGAGCTCGATGGAAGCCCCTTCCACCGCTGTCGCCAGCTTGTGGAAGCACGGCTTGAGGGGTCAAGTGCGACCATCGTTGCCGCATCTAGCTCGTTCCCGCCTACGCCCAGCCAGCCCTGCCTTCCTCTAGCACGAGTGCTCATGGAGACTGCCCTCGCCACCGACGCATGCTTCAACGAGGATAGGGTGAGGATTGAGGAACTAGAAAGCCATATGACATGTGGGCCCTACAAATTTTTTTATTTGGTATTGCTAACTGGATTGTCATGTGTGTGCCAAACATCGGACTAAAACCGCTTTGGAGTGAGTTAGGGGGGTAATTCGTCTGGTATAAGTAGTTTAGGGTTTAAAATGTCCGATTTTGTGGTTTAGGGGGGTAATTCGTACTGGCACGATAGTTCGGGGGGTAATTCGTACTTTTTCCTTACTAGAACCATAGGGGTAGTTCATTCTTTTCCCTTCTATAAATTCATTTTCTATTTCATTCCTAATTTATTCTTAACAGTGCTGTTAATATAGGGCCAATCAATCATTTCATTTTTAAAAATGAGGGTCGAATGAGTAAACTGTCAAAATAATAATTAGGTTCTAAAACTGGGTCAAAAGAGCAATTGACCTGGATATTTATTACTATCTTGAATTCTCAATATTGAAACCTAAGTATTTTTAAACAAAATTGGTATTGTTCGAAAGCCTTATTGCTCAAATTTTTGTAGATACTTCCCCCAATTTATATATAAGTTGTATTGATTTTTTTCCTAGTCAAACTTCTTTATGTTTGATGAGGCTTATAAAAAAATAGTTGTGAATATTTACAACATCATATCATTTTTATTAAATGTAACATTTAATATATTTTGATAATATGTTTCATTTGAATTGAAAATATTTTTCTAGTTTTCTATAAATTTAGTCAAACTTATTTTTATAAACTTATGAAAAAAATGAATATGGCTAGTAATATAAATTTAGGAGAAAAAAAGCTAAAGTAACTTATAATATGAAACGGAGGAATAGCTATTTACATTACATCCAGCCTCAAACAACAATGGCACAATGGTCTTATGTTTGGTAATTGGTTTGAGGCAAAACAAACAAAAAGAAATCTCAAGACCAAAATTTAAACATATTGTTGTGCTTTATATTGGTCAGTTTCGTTTAAGCCGTAACGATAATTTTTTAATAAAAGGAAGATGGTTAGTCCTTTGTGGATTATATTCATGTGTACCAATTGGCTTGGGACCTGTCTTTAATACAATAGCACGATGATCAGTAGGAATTTGCAACTGAGGCTGCACACTTTGGACCTTGTCACAACAAAACTTTTTTCTCACTATGGGTCGCGCCCTACAAATTGGATTTGTGAGGTGTAATTCAACCCTATTCATTTTTTTTATTTAGTTTACCAGAGCCTAGGAGCTCTCTCGTGCCTATTTTAATTTTGTCTAGTTAGATTTGTGTAATTAGGGGAACTAGTTGTCAGCCCGTGCATTGCACAGACTGTCGTTCCTCCTGTTGGTGGTAGCTAAATATGGTGCTTAGTTTTGAAACGTATAGCACCTTAGATAAGCATTAACTTGTTAATTATGATTTTTTTATTTCCAGAACTAAATTTAAAAAAAGTTATCTATCTATCTATCTATCTATATATATATATATATATATATATATATATATATATATATATATATATATATATATATATATATATATATATATATCTATTTATCCATACCTATACTAAGAGCCTGTTTGGCACAGCTCCAGCTCTAGCTCCACCCCTCCTGGAGCTGGAGCTCAGCCAAACAGTTTCAGCTCCACCAAAACTGGGAGTGGAGCTGGGTGGAACTCTCTCACAAATTGAACTAGAGTTGTAAAGCTAGGTTTAGGCAGCTCCATAACTCCACTCCAGACCCAACTCCCGGAGCTAAATTTAGGAGTTGAAACTGTACCAAACAGGCCCTAAGAGCCTGTTTGGCACAGTTCTAGCTTCAGCTCCACCCCTGCTGGAGCTGGAGCTCAGCCAAATAGTTTCAGCTCCAGCAAAACTGGGAGTGGAGCTGGGTGGAGCTCTCTCAAAAAATGATCTAGAGTTGTGGAGCTGGGAGTGGAGCTGGGTTTAAGCAGCTCCACAACTCCACTCTAGACCCAACTCCTGGAGCTAAATTTAGGAGTTAGAGCTATACTAAGGGCCTGTTTGGCACAGCTCCAGCTCCAGCTCCACCCCTTCTGGAGTTGGAGCTCATTTCAGCTCCACCAAAACTGGGAGTGGAGTTGGGTGGAGCTCTCTCTCAAAATGTTCTAGAGTTGTGGAGCTAAGTTTAGTCAGCTCCACAACTCCACTCCAGACTCAACTACTGGAGCTAAATTTAGGAGTTGGAGCTGTACCAAATAGGCCCTAAACAGGCCCTAATTGGGCACTTCCTACGAGCTCCCATATTAAGAAGAAAAATCTAGCCCTTGATTAACTAGATCGCAACATCTCGACCATTGATCATAATGTTTAATATTATGGGCTTCTTTCAGAGCCAATCCAAGGCCTATTTGAAAGCCCATCCAATTTGCGTTTTGAAAAAAATAATCCAACCTGTTATTGCCCTATACCCGTACGTATTTCAGCCTCTCGCAACAAACAGGAACGCGAGACAGAATCATGAAAAGCAGCTCCGGCCATCGCGCTTCATCCTGATCAGTTACGAATTTGGACTCTATCCGATCCAATCGAACTGTGTGCAAATGGAAACGTACGTGGTCACATGAGACTTCTGCTAGAGAAGATGGGAGACGTTCTAAATGCACTTCGTTCTGATTTGGGCTCTAACTGCTGCTGATTATCAGGGATTATCCTTTCCAGCTAAATCTGAGGTGTGATTTTATTTTTTTCTAAGCTGAAAACTCTACAATGTTTGACATGTTCTATGCGCATCTGCAGGTAGCTTGCACATAATGTTTTTGTTTCTTCTGTTGCTTCTCTCCTCTTGCACATCAGTGTGATTTGCTGAATATAGGCCAGTTCTGTTATGTGATTTACGTTTTATAGCAAAGTGACAATGTATGATCAGTCTAAAAATTGCAATAGATCGACTACTTCGTTAATTTGAGTGTGGGCGCTGCGTATGATCAGTAATTAAAATCATAAGAAAACTCATTCTTCTTTAAGAAAGGAACATTGTATTTTTTAAGACAGGGAAACTATAATTTTTTACAAAGGAAAATTGTAAATTCACACAAAACCCAGGAACTGCTTAATATTTATTAATTACAATTTCAAAAGTAATAGATCATGAATAAGGGATAATTGAGACTTCAAACTCCGTACTTAGTAATTTCCGATTTACAAATTAAATTAGTAAAATGACTAAATTAAAATTCCAACATGACATAAAATGTCGACAAATAATTAAATTATGATTTTTTTTATTCTTTATAACGCCGATAACAATAACCCGTGCAAACACAGGTAGGCGACTAGTATTAGTAGTCGAAGAAGGACAACTCCATATATATTTTGTTTCTTTACGGTATGTTAGATTGAAGCAATGATCTATGTCAGCTACAATTAGCTAATTAGTAATGCTGGATCTACGAATCAAATTATAGGGCTGATCACACGCACGTTATGAACATGTATTACTTTATTTTAAAAAGCAAAGTGCGAAATTAAGAGCCCACGAAGTGAATAATTCCCTATTTATTAATTTCAAATTTTAGGGAAAAGAATCTACACAATCCACGACACAAACTCTTAATATGATCTACGATAATAAAATTATATAATCCAACTAATGAAGGGCTAACTCTTTTTGGAGTTCTCTAGCTACATCTGTGCGTTGCGCATGCTAATAATAATGGTGATATTATAAATACATGAATTTTTTAATTATCTTTTAAAACTTAAGTTATCTTAGAGTGTCAATTTTGAGTATTTTTGTTAGTTGGGCAGTATACCAAAAATCAACAAATTTGAAAACGCTAAAAGATATGGAACAATACACACCAGACTTACGGGGCTGCAGTGGGTTTCCCTTCGTCGTTGTCTGGCCGGCGGAGGAAAGCAAATCAAAACTCCCGAAGAGATCGGAATAAGAAAGCTACCTACGCATTGGTATTGTGTCTAATAAGAAATCAATCTTTTGATTGAGGAAAAATAGCAAGAAGGAGAGGTCTCGATGTAATTGCTGCTGCTCGCATTGGTGCAGTCTCACGTCTAGATTGAAGGCAGGCTAGCTTCATGGGCTTTCAAAGGTAGATTAGTCGGGCTACGACGTTAAATCAATATAGATTTGCAGTGCAGATTTTATGATACATCTAATCGATGGCCAGATTCTTCTGATCAATGTTATAGTTCATAGAAAGTGTCCAATTAATATAGGTATAGATAGGTTTAAAATTTTCCATGTTACCCCTTCGTCCCAAAATTTTCCATGTGACTGATACGTAAATTTTGGCCTGGGGGTATTGTAGGATTATACCATACTATGATCCCTACTGCGATATTGACAACCTTGCATGCGATTGCTCAGATGTGAATAGAAAAATAGTGTTCAGTTCATTTTTTTCAACAGCCCTATGGACGATGTGAATATAACATTATGTTACAAAACGATAAAAGTGTTAGGAAGCTGTGGAGTAGATGAGGATGTGTTGTCACAACAACAATTACTGTTTTTAGTTCAAAGAATTTTTTGACCTAGCTTTGTTAAGAAAAGGTACGCACAAGGTTTGTAAAAAAGAGAGAAGAGAAAAGGGGGCTACCACTAATATGAAGCAAACCGGAGCATCTAATAGTCATCACATAGTTCACATTGAGTTCAGTTGAAAAATAATTACTATTTACCAATCAATTGAAAGCTTCCCGTAATAAAAAGGAACCAAAGAAGCTTAAATAAAGTTAATATAGGAAAAAGAAATAGAATATAATCATTCAGATGTGCAACAATGCAAGCACTCGCATACCTGTACATGTACGCATCAACATCAAAAGGATCATCATTCGTGTCCACGAGGCATCCTTGGCTAACCGAGCAATCCCCACAGTCATCGAGAACCCAACCATTTAGTTTCCCTTCCTATTTATGGGAGAAAACAAGTGTATTAAAGAATTAATTAATATACTAATTTTTAATTGATGATATGAGCACAGTAAAATTTTCCATTATATATCTATACTGCTGTCAATGGAAAAAAAATCTTTCTTTGGATTGTTTAAAGATCAACAAACCAATTTCCTAAGACTCAACTCTAATGGCTAGCTAACATCGTCTCTATTGATTGAGCAATGATTTCTCAGCCATGGAAAAATAAACCAATTAAGTAACCAATGTAATTTATGGGTATCTTTAGTGGTTTAGAAGCAAACGCTTGAAATATACTATGATGGAAATAGAAAATAGGTAGGACTTAGACTTTATTTGAGCTACATGACAAATTTAAAACAGACTAACACCTCGCCACCTGTTTCTTGCACCAGTAATTTATCTCTGTAGGAGAGCGGGCCACAAGCTAATCAGCTACTCCCTCCGTTCAAAAAAAGGCAAACCGCGGGTTTACGTGCCAACGTTTAACTGTCCGTCTTATATGAAATTTTTTTATAATTAGTATTTTCATTGTTGTTAGATGATAAAACATAATGAATACTTTACGCGTGACTTATCTTTTTAATTTTTTTCATAATTTTTTTAAATAAGACGGACGGTCAAACATTGGACACGGAAACCAGTGTTTGTCTTTTTTTGGGACGGAGGGAGTACGCCATAGCCTCTCCCACGTGCCAATTGTCCTAGTGACGCAGCCACAAATTACATTGGTTAGGGGGTGGAGTTAGAGTCGGACTGTGTAACCCGTCATCTCTTTTAAATAGAGAGGGGGGCACTACAATGTAACCATGGCGACTACAATATAGCGTAGACACGCAGGGAAATGATGGCGGCATGGCCATGGACTCGTAGCGGCTAGGAGCTATATTAGTTAGGGAGGAGCGCCCATAATCAGAGCCCCGGGGATGTAGGCTTCGGCTGAACCTCGTTACCAAATATCGTGTGTTCCTGTGTCGTTATCTGGCGTGTGTCTTGGGTGATCAATGATTGAAGCGATTAGGAAGGTTAGTCGTCGTTCCGCTATATCGACTAGCTTTTATAACAAGTGGGCCGGGCTGTGTACTCTAACAAGTGGTATCAGAGCAGAAGATTTCAGTATTAGATCAAGAAGACATGTGGAGGAGGAAACACGAGGTGGGGATCGCGCATCGACAGGAGATCGTCAGCCGTGGCGATGAGATCGATGGCGACAACGAGGACGTTGCGGAGGCGACGACCTCACTCGCGATCAGACCGGCGATGGCGGAACGTGACCGGAAGACGGGGCCGGGCGTGGCTGAAGGCGACCGGAGAGATCGGAGGGGTAGCGCCATGGACGGCGCGCCTGACGCATGCGGCGAACACGGATCCGCGGTGGCAGGGAGGCCAGTGACAGAAGGGTGAAGCCGGCGAGCTTGGCGCGGCGCGGCAGACGTGTAGGGCCGAGATGACGAGGTCGTGGACGGTGAACACGAGGGCTGCGACTGCGGTGCGTACGTGGGTACGGACAGCGCGTATGGAGTACGTGCTATATATACACACACATATGCACGTAGTAGCAATGAGGGCAGCAGAACATACAGAGGAGCACTACTCAATGGGGCCTTGGCACATGCATGTGATATTTGTTTTTTATTTAAGTGCATGCAGGTTTACTACACGGACATGCATGGTTTGTGTACATGCTAAGCCATTGGCCGGTTGGGTGCATGCACAGGAGGACACATGCATGCAGCCGTGTCAGGAGACAGTACGTGTGACACAAGGAATCAGAGCCCCGGGGCGCTATAGGTTTGGTAACTGGAGTCCAACGTTGACACGGAGCAGGGCGACGAAGGAATACGCGTATCGGACTTTGGCTCTCATGCCGACTCGGTTCAGGTTCCAACGGGGCTGCTCCTATAAAAGGAGGGCTAAGGTGACTATACCAATAGCAAAAAGACGGTGGAAGCTCAGTGATTCAAGTCACACGTGTGCGTGTTGCAGTTGTTGGTCCACGAAGGTTGCATTGATCCAGGCGGGGTATTGTTGTTCAGCTGCAGCTCGGAGAGGTGACGTGAGGTGTGCGGGTACCGGTTCAGGGTAGATCGGTGCGGCGGCGGACAGGTGGTCTGCTATAGATGTCTGAGGTCGGATCACAAGATGAGTTTGTGAAGACAAATACGGACGGTTCTGAGAAGGGCGAGTATTCTGGTGGCAACAGGCCAGTCATGTCACGGATTGGTAAGATGGCGCCGACAGGTATGAAATTTGATTTGGTGAAGTTTGACGGCTCTGGAAATTTTGGCTTGTGCCAAACTAGGGTCAAAGATTTGTTAGCTTAATAAGGAGTTTCAAAGGCTTTGAAGGGTGTCAAACCGGCCAAGATGGAGGATGACGATTGGGAGGAGATGTAGTTGCAGGCGGCTGCGACAATAAGGCTATGTCTCTCAGATCAGGTCATGTACCATGTGATGGAGGAGACCTCACCAAAGATAATTTGGGAAAAGTTGGAAGCTCAGTTTATGTCCAAGACTCTGACCAATAAACTGTATCTGAAGTAGAAGTTGTATGGGCTAAAGATGCAGGAAGGGACGGATCTGACAGCACATGTGAACGTTTTCAATCAACAGTCACTGATCTTGTGAAGATGGATGTGGAAGTTGACGATGAAGACAAGGCTATAGTTCTTTTGTGTTCGTTACCTGAATCGTATGAGCATGTGGTGACTACTTTGACGTACGGCAAGGAGACCATCAAAACTAAAGATATCACTTCTGCGTTGTTGGCTCGTGATCAGATGAGAAAGAACAAAGAGGGTGAAACATCTCAAGCGGAGGGTTTGCTAGTCAAAGAAGATCATGCTGGGCATAAGGTAAAGAAGAACAAAAAGAAGAAGATGGTGCAGTGCTTCAGATGTGATGAGTTGGGGCATATAAGCAGGGAGTGTCCAACACTAAAGGGAAAAGCTAAGGCTAATGCAGCGACTTCTTCGAATGACTCGGATAGCGATGGTTGTGATCTTCTCACGATGTCAAGTGCACAGTCTAAGGATGCAGAAGTGTGGATATTAGATTTAGCTAGCTTGTTTCATGTGACGCCAAGGAAGGAGTGGTTCTCTTCATACAAGTCTGGTGAGTGTGGTTTTGTCTACTTAGGCGATGACACAAGTTATCCAGCCGTGGGAGTAGGTGAAGTCAAAATTAAGCTAGAAGATGGAGGTGAACATGTTCTTTAGGGAGTCAAGCATGTACCAGGGCTAAAGAGGAATCTGATTTCGCTTGGAACCTTGCATGAAGAAGGGTTAATATTCCACGGTAATCGGAATAGGAAGACCATTGAGATCATGAAGGGCAAGATGACTGTGATGACTGGAGAAAAGGTGGAGTCGCATCTTTACAAGCTGCAAGGGTGCACTGTTGCAGGTGGAGTCCAGGAGGAAGCGGTTGCTGGGATAGGAATTGTTTTTGTGGCGGCGGGTCTAGCGCAGACTCGTCGGGCGGCTTGCGGTGAAGCTGCAAAGAAGACAACCCAAGTCTGGAAGACAGGTGGATCGGCATGGTGATTCTACTACTTCTAGGTGGCGTATATTCGCCAAGGTGGAGTTTGTTAGAATAGGTGCCGAATATACTAGTTCTATTTGGTTACAGTTGGACTTGGAGTTGTAATAGGTGTTAGGGGGTGGAGTTAGAGTCGGACTCTGTAACCCGTCATCTCTCTTAATAGAGAGGGGGGCACCACAATTAACCATGGCGACTACAATATAGCGTAGGCACGCAGGGAGATGATGGCGGTGTGGCCATGGACTCGTAGTGGCTAGGAGCTATATTGGTTGGGGAGGAGCGTCCATAATCAGAGCCCCGGGAATATAGGCTTCGGCTGAACCTCGTTAACAAATATCGTGTGTTCCTGTGTCGTCATCCGGCGTGTGTCTTGGGTGATCAATGACTAAAGCGATTAGGAAGGTTAGTCGTCGTTCCGCTATATCGACTAGCTTTTATAACAAGTGGGCCGGGCTGCGCACTCTAATAGAGTACCCTCAAAAAAAAGAGAGAGAAAGAATTGCGAATAAAGTATGTAGTTGCACCTGGATATGGTTCCTAAAAGTCTCGACTGCTTGAGTGCCCCTTTGTTTTGCATACTTGGCTTCTCCCAGAATGTTCATCCTCATCAGCTTGGACTCAGCCGGCTCCTCAAGGTCCATGATGAGTGTTCCTACGCTTCCCTCCAATCCCACGAGTCTCATCCTGACCATCTCGATAATAATCTTCACCACCATGTACGCACCTTAATTCGCAACAACAATTAATTAATTAAGTGAAAACAAATGGTGATACGGATAAGTAATTAGCATATATATAGGATGTAGTACAAGAGATCAACATTTGTAAATCTTGTTAAATTCGACGTTATATATGCTATTAAGACTCCAAGCAGATGACGTATGTATGTGTGGATATGGACGTAGCTAGGCGTACCGTCGTCGAGAAAGTTGTTCTCCTTGAGCGCGCCGTGGCCGGTGGTCTCCATCATGAGGTGCGTCTCGACGCCGTCGGCGTTGAGCTGCACGCCCTTGTCAATGACGTTTCGGTAGCCGACGCGGTAGAGGCAGTGGTGGCCGCCCCTGGCCTGGATGAAGCGGGTGAGCCCGTCGCTGGTCCGCGCGTCCGTGACCACCGTCGTGCCGGGGTGCTCGTCCAGCACGATGGCGGACATGAGCGCGATGAGCCGATCGCCGTTGATGGCCGCGCCCGTGGCGTCCACCACGCCGCTGCGGTCCACGTCGGTGTCGAACACCACGCCGAGGTCCGCGCCGTGGTCCAGGACCGCATCGCGCGTGAGGGACATCGCGGTCGTGTCCTCCGGGTTGGGCATGTGGTGAGGGAACTTGCCGTCGGGCTCCAGGTGGAGGCTCCCCGTCGTGTCGGCTCCCAGCTTCTCCAGGACGTCCCACGTGAAGAACCCTCCGCAGCCGTTGCCGGCATTCACGATCACCTAAACGTAATAACTCGAATTAGTTAGCAAAACTGTGGGGACCCAAAGAAAACATGATGATGTACAAGTACATGATGATATATCAATGGGAATTTGTAACTCGAATTAATTAGCAAATGGCATTGATTAATATAGGGACCAAATTAATACAGCATAATGATGTATTTCAGTAATGGGAATTTTGTTTGCCTTGAAGCCCTTTAGGGGGGTGTCGTAGTGTGTCGGGTGGGCAACACGCTCCTTGATTATGTTGCGGAGGTGCTGCGCATAGGCGCTCATCAAGTCGACGCGCATCACCACCGGCGGCATGCCTCGCCCGCCGCCAAGGCCCATCTTCCTGGCCACGTACTTCCGCGCCGCACGGTCGCAGACCCCTTCCACCTCGCCGGACGTGAGACCACCGCGCTTCATGAAGAACTTGAGGCCGTTGCGAGTGTATGGGAGATGTGATGCAGTCATCTACAGCAGCAGTAATAATCTTCACTTAGAATGTGCTTCCAACAAAACTCGAATCAACTAGACCGGCGAAACAAAAACCACTTTAACATGCGTTGGCCAAAACCACTTTAACATGCGTTGGTATTTTTTTTAGAGTAAATTTCACAAAACTATATATACTTTGGTCAAATTATCATAAAACTACAGATTTAAAGTGATGTATCACAAAACTACAGATTTAACACTAAATTTCTCACAAAACTACAAATTTAAGGTATAATATCGCAAAACTACACATTTAGTAGCAAAAAAAAAATCATAAAACTACAAGTTTGGTGTTAATTTATTCGCAAAACTTAGATGTTTATAACTCAAACATAACACTAGTACTAAAGATTTAAACTCTAAAATATGTAGTTTTGTGATAACTTTGTTACTAAATCTGTAGTTTTACGATACTTCACCTTAAATCTGTAGTTCTATAATAAATTTAGTGCAAAATGTGTATTTTTGTGAAACGTCACATTAAATATGTAGTTTTTTAAAAATTTGGCTAAAGTATATGTAGTTTTGTGAAATTTACTCTTTTTTCCGATGCAATCATTGTTAGCCTACCTTTACGAGAAATATCAACTTACTCAGATGCAATCATTGTTAGCCTACCTTTACGAGAAATATCAACTTACTCAGTAAATAATAACTTAAATAACCCTACTTATAAAATCCTGTTTTGTTTTTCCTTTTTTTATATAAGATTTAGCCGAACTTTTAAAATATTTTATCATCAACTTAATTAATATAAGAACAAGTTTGCAAAATGTAATAGATATAATATATTGTGAAAATTCTTTCAAGGCCTACCTTCTTTTCTTTTAACTAAGCATTTGGGAAACCATTGGTGGTAACAGTTTTTATCGTGCAATAGAAAAAAATTAATGTAATTACGGAGGATATATTCCTCTTGTACTTCTTTCAACATTTCCCTGTGTCTGCGAGCATCTTTCAACGTTTTTGGATTGTGATGGCCCATTACTTGGCCCACGTATAGCAAGCCGCATGTACTGATTTCAGTGGACCGACAATTCGGCATAAACATACGTTTGATTCTTCAATATGCAAAACAGTATAGTATTTTTGCAAGTATATAGTACAGATTTTTTTTCAATTATCTTTTGCAGAAAAAAAATCATGCGCATTCTTTGACCAGAATGTAATATTTTTCAACATGGTCAAGCCTATGTAGGTTTTTAATTATAATGATTCATAATTAAATGCCAGTTTTAACTTTTCAGATTGTATTAATTGTATCAGTTCCCGTAACTTTTTACAATCATATTAAGTATTGGAAAATGCTATGTATAGCTCGACATATTTTAGAGGCACATTCATGACATGAATTTCTAATCCAAATATCCAACTATTCGTGCTTTGTATTCATCTTTGACAAATTTTGGTGAGCCACAAACTCCGATAGAAGACCTACAGGTTAAGGTTTTGGGGTTGGGGGAGCAGGGGTGGGAGGTTTGGGCACGGAAATAAGGTGTTCCCAAATTTAGGAGGCCTTTTTATGATGCTTGGAAAGTATCACAACTTTTGACCGTTGTTTTTTTTAAGGATAAACTAAAAGTAGAAAATAAGAAATATGGGTAATTTAGTAATTATTTGCCACGATAATTATTCCTGCTTCGCAACTTGCATTGCACAGCATGGTCTGGTTGCTGCAACTACTCTGTTGTTTCCCGTAATACCCATTTTGTTGTTGGTGTATTTTTTATACTAATACATATAATATTGCAAAATCAAAATCAAGAGGCATCTGGTGCTAATGAGCGACGCCATGAGATGTTGTCCGAATATGTGTTAATCTATAGTACTTGTCTATATAAAATATATTCCTACCATCTATATTTCAAATAAAATTTTCTCTTAACTTACTCATCCAATCTATGATCGGATTATACTGTTGTGTTCGTAACAATTAAATCTTTATAACAAGATCTCACATGTTTATATTTTGATGAAAAAAAATATAAATTACTTTTAGATTATATCTAAATTATTGTTAGATTTCATTAAATTACATCTTAGACATATCAAAGTAAATTGAATAAAGCGTAAAAGTAATTTACATATATTATACAAATAACGTAAAAAAAAAAGAAAGTAACTTGTCACAACATTAGAAGTAAATCCATTGTGGGGTTAATTTCCAAATAGACTTATGTTTCTAAACCCACAATAGATTTACTTTTAATGCCGTAACAAGTTACTTTGCATTCGTTTTCATACTTTTATAATATATATAAATTACTTTCAGGTTTTACTGTATTTACTTTTATGACTAAGAAGTAATTTAATGAAATCTAAAAGTAATTTATATATATTATAAAAGTAACTTATATTTTTTTACAAAAAATATAATCATGTGACATCTTGTTATAAAGATTTAATTGTTATGTACACAATGATGTAATCGGATTGTAAATCGAATAAGTAATTTAAGAGAAAATTCTATAAGAAGAAAAAAAATACATATACTTTTGGGTGTACTAGTAGCAACTGGATATGAGATTGAGGTCGCTGATTTTGACAATCCAGCGTACAGCCTTGTCGTAGACACGTCCAATATAATATCTCTAAACTTCTCTTTGTTCATGTATCGGGTATTCCTATATCGGGGTATAATAATAAAAATATAAATACAAGAACTGTATTCATCTGCAGAATCTTCGTAATTATCATCGGTGAATACAAGCAATTGGGTGATACCCGTTACTAGATCGGTTCTGGAAATCAACTTATGTTAGATTTGGTAAGTCATGTTTCCCCGCTAAAAGAAAAAAAAGATTTGGTAAGTCATGACGTAAATTGAAATCTTCACGGATGAATTACTCTTATAGATGAATTACTCTTGAAGATTAAGTGTTTTACGTAAAACGATGTGATAATAATGTGTGATTAATTAAGTTTTAATTATTACAAACTTAAAAAATGGATTAATCTGATATTTTAGAACAACTTTCATATAGAATCATACAAGAAATCTCTTTAAAAAAACTCGCATACTAACTTGAGATGAAATACGGACTCATAATTGCAGCTTATGATTTTCTAAAAAAAATATCCAAACGAATTCGCACAATAAATTTTACCCTAGCTAAACCGTATAAAAACAATAAAATTAAAATAGCATTTACCCGTTGTAACGCACGAGCATTTTTTCTAATAATAGAAAAACGTAACAGTTTTTATCTTTTTCCTTTTGAATTGATTTTGGGAGGAAATTACTTATCTAAGCCTCCCACCAAACCACTAAAGTTAGTACCTGGCTCACATTTAAAATATCTTTCTATTTCTACCTTTTATTTTATTTTAGATCGTTAGATTATACACCCTCCGACAAAAAAAACTTCAGGATGAATCTGGACAAATGCTTATCCAGTTCATCCCTAGAAGTAGATTTTTTTATGGACGGAATAGTAAGTGATTAATGGCTCTCCTATATTCCAAGCACCTTAAAAAATCTCTAAATTCAGAGGGATAACTATGACAACGGGTAGTCTGGTGGTGGTTCAGTGAAAATAGCGGGGTGACGGTGGCATCGCCTTGGTTACATGATGAAAGGAGGAGCATATGGGCCACTGTTGGCGGTTAGGATATGTGATCCGGACTGCTGGTTAGGAGATACTAATAGTGGTCGTACATGCAATATATGCCGGATGTCGCTGAAAAGAATCGAGCAGTCGGCGGGGAGAACTGAGCTGCCAGCACGAGGGAAGGTTTTAGATTTCCGGTGTGCTCTGCATCTTTGTTCTTGACCGATCGTAGCTGCTTACAATTGATGATCTTATCACTTACGCGAAGGAATTGAAAAAAGAGCTCGAAGTGGATGGATTCTTACCTTCGTTTTCCTGTGAAATCGATGTAGAATCATGTGATGACTTAATTTGTGTGATGAACAATTGTTAAAGGTAAGCGTTTGTGAAAAATGCAGTGAAGTGTTTCAAACGGTGAACAGTGTGGTGGTCGGCACTGGGTTGCTGGTCCGACTAAGTGGGTGCCGCCGGTTGGACTGGAGATGTCCGGGCGGTCAGACCGGCAAACTCTAGGTGGGAGCCGGTTTCAGGTTGTTTTCTGGGAATTTCTAGATTGCTTCATGTTTATAACTTCTAGATGATTTCTATCCGTATGTGATACTATTGTGTGCTGATGTGAGTCAAGTTGGTGTGAACGTGTACTCGGTATGGAGTTTTTTGTTTGTTGTTCATGTGCAGGTGTTGCTTGAGGCCATGGGTGTATAGCTGGTGATGGATCGGGACTAGGCTTGGAAGAAGTTAAGATCTAGACGGTCAAGGATATCACGCGGGATGCTTAGGCTAGAGAACAATACACGCATAGATAAAGGTTTCATATGGCATACACATGGTGTTGCGTGTGTATGGAAAGTGGAGTCAAAATTTTGGATTGAAGTCTAAGTTTGGGAAGTTGGGAGTTGTATGGGGATGTTGTTTCCCAGGTTTGATAGGTTTTCTACGTGACTAGGAGTTCTAGTTCTAGTTGGATTCGTGGCTAGGGGCAACCAGTTGTGGGTATAAATAGATAAGGGGTTAAGGCTAGAAGGGATTGACTTTTTGGGAGAGAAAAGTTAGGGTTTGCTTTGAGGTTTCAATTTTAGTTCGAGAGTTGAGAGAGAAGTGCTTTAGATGCACTTTGTAAATACACTAGAAAAAATGCTCGTGCATTGTAACGGGTAAAGGCGTTTTTTCCAGTGATACAACAACTATTAAGTGCGCAGGAATAAATTGAAACATCAGTATTGCTATACATTATAATTGAAAAAGCGTTGCCTACTACCCCTCTCTTTGCTTTGCATGCCTCTCTTAACTTCCAGAAGGCAGTTCTGTGCCCGTACAATGCTAAAGCCAATCATCCCTATCAAATCTATTATCTTTCTCGATCTCCCAAAATTGATTGAGGGGCTTTTGATCTACTTGATCTCTTCTTTCAGTTTTTCCCAAAATCGGAGCGAATCCACAAAACTAGGGATAAAAACAGCTGAGGGAAGATCACCGGTCAGCCATCATTCACTATCATTAAATGAAGATTAAATCTAGTGAATTGAAAAGCCAATTTGAAAGGGGAAATCATGGGGAAAGAATGAGGGAGGATTGAAGAATTGTTTTTTGCAATTAGTTAGAGGAGAAAATGCATGGCGGCATGGGGAGATAGATCGACGTGGCTGCGGCGTCAGGGTTCGGCCCGCGTTGTGCGGCGGTGGCTGGAGGCGCGTGGCAATGGATTAGACACGTATGGACGACGTACGGAATCAAATACACGGAATCCTTACTTTTTTAACTAGGAATCCTTACTTTTTTTACTAGGTATAAAGATAGATTAGAGATAAAGATAAATATTAGAAAACCAACTCAAACACAGATGACGTACTAAAATTTTGGCGGAAACATCTTCAATTTTTATAATAGTAGATATATTGATGCAATAAAGTTAAGCTACTTTCAAGAGTTTTGTCGATACGTATTTTTCTGGATCCTGATGGTTTGACCGAAGTACTACGGGCGGTCTAACCAACGAGAAGGCGGCAGTCTAACCAGCAGCGGCGAGCAGGTGACAAACAGGGATGCGGCGGTCCAACCGGCAGAACATCACCGGTCAGACCGGCAGCATAGGGGCGGTCAGACCGGTGTATACATGGTGGTCGGTCAGACTGACTACGTTGAGATCTCAATCGATTACGAGGGTAACTTTTATTTTCGCTAAAAGTTTTTATGTTTCTACCATTCACCCCGTGTGGTACGCTTCTTATCTTGGATCCTACAATCGACAGCAAAGGAAAGTTTCCTATCCTATTCCACGAGAATAGAATATTTAGATCCAAGCCAGTTCGGGAGCTACCTCTGTTACCGGTGAAATAGCAGGCGAAAAAAAAAATAATACGAGTTTGTGCTTTACCATGATGGAGGCGTCATAGCTGAACCGTGGGAGCTTGGTGCTCATGAAGCAAGCCGGCGTGGTGGCGAGCCCCACGTCGAACACGGAACACCCTGCCCTCGCCAGCCCCGCGAACAGTGCTGCGCCGAGCCGCGCGCCAGACAGGCGGGGGTCCCTTCCGACGGACACCCGCACCTCGCCGCCGTCCCTCCCGCTCTCCAGCTGCTGGAGCTCCTCCCGCAGCCACTCCCCGAAGCTCTCGGCGATCACCTCGACCGCCAGCGGCGTGAGGTCCACGGCCCGGCCGTTCTCCCCTTCCAGCGCAACGCCACGCACGTCCGGTCCGTTCTGCAGCCTCCGGATCACGTCTCCATCCTCCCCGGCCACCGCTGCAGCGTCAGTCGACGTCTCGAGCCGGCCACCCGTCGCTGCCTTCGGGCCACGAGACGATGAGCTCGCATCAACTATTACAACGTGCTGGGGGAGCCTCCTCCTCCAAGGGCGCGGAGGCGACCGGATGAGCATGCTGCCGCTCACGTTTTTCTTGCATGGCTGCAGAGTGGCCGGAGAAGCGGGGATAGTAGCAGCCATGATGGTACGTACGTCGTAGCACGGTCAATCACGAGGTGCAATGCAACCGGCACGCGATGGCGAAGATATTATACCACCGCGCGTGTAAATATCTTGGCGCGTGCAAATGTACGAGAGATTTTAAGCTATAGCTTCAGCCTTCAGGGTTGTGCAGGAGGTGGTGCTACCGTCACGGAAGGATTTTTTTTTCTGGGCCCGGGAGCGGCGATAGACCTTGTGCGGTGGAGGCGCTACCGTAACAGTTGTGTGGTGTTGCGAACCCGAGCCAAGCTGCATGCATTATGATCTCAGGCATCTGACAAAAACCGAAAAGGACACTCGATCTGCTGTTCAGTGCTGCAGGACAAACAAAAAATGAGGTGTGGTAATACGTGAACAAGTGCACAAGTTCAAGACAAGAATGGATACACATCAAGAAGAAAGAAAACAAACAATTGCCTGAACGACATGCTTTGCTGTGAGTTCAATTCGTATATCACACAACTCCACAAATCAGATAAGATGAGAACTCAGAAAACCAGTTGAGACCTCAGCTGCTGCCTGCCTGCTACCCCCGGCCTGAACCCATCTTCGTTGGCCGCCAGCTCTGGGCCTCAGGCAGCCTGGGGCCCGCCCCATGCGGCCTAGCCTATGAGACCGCCAGGCTCTCATGTTAGAATTAAGGAAAAAGTCCACTTGACTCCCTTAAAAAAGTAATTCGTACTCCTCAATCAGAAAACCGGGCAGGACGACTCCCCAAACTGTTGAAACCAACGTAATTTGACTCCCTCCGCGGATTTGGAGGACGGTTTTGCTGACTTAGCGTTGACATGGTGATGTTGACCTGGTCTTCGTCTCACGTGGTGCTTATGTGGCATTAGAATTAAAAAAATATTTGTGGGACCCATTTGTGATTTAAAAAAAATTATTGTGGGAGCTGTGGCAGCGGCGAGCGGGAGAGTGCTGGAGCGGTGGGCAGTTTGGAAATTCAACTGTGCAGCATCTTGGATGACGATGATGTCGCTGGCAAGTAGCAACAATCTCCCAGTGAAAACAACACAAGTTGATTAATGCAGTTCTCCACTCTACTCCAATGATCAGAGAACACATGCGCGTGCACCTCAATCGATCGAGCAGCTAGCTGGCTCACCTATGACCGAGCGTGGTGGCGGCGCGACGGCGCCGGCCGCCACGCGGAGACGGCGTAGAGCAGCCTCATGTGCCAGCAGAATAAGAAGCCATGGCCGTACGGCCCCGCCCACCTGCAGCTCTGTAGCAGCTTCCTCGCCTCCATGCATGGCGCCGCTGTAGCTCAGCCCCACCTGCTCCATGTCGTCCGCTTCCATCCACGCCGCCCAATGCCGCGCCCGCTCGTGCCGCTCCACCAGCTTCGCCCCCTCACACGCTACCACGCCGCGGGTCTCCTCCCTGAGCAGGACGCGCTCCTCTCTTGGTGCTTGTGCTCCCCTCGTTTGCAGGATGACCCTGGGGCAGCGCCGGCTCCGGCGACGGATTTATTACCCGCTACCCCGCCCTCGAGTGCGGCCAACGCCGAGTTCCTGACATGGTCCATGGCTGGCGCAGCCGGTAATCTATGAGCGATGCGACGCCGGCGGCCGGCGGCGTGCGATGCGGAGGTTGTGTGCGAGGAGGATTTTGGGGAGCCAAGGAAGAGGAGGGGAATCGGCAAACGCCGCTCCCCGCCGCCACTACTCTAGCCCTCGTCCCCTCGCCGCCGTCGCTGCTCCAGTACCCGTTGTCCCACCCGTCGTTGCCATAGCCGAAGAGGATAAGAAAAGAGAGAGATAAAGAGAGAGAGGGAGGAGGAAGAAAGGTTGGAGAGAGGATGATAGCCTCACAATATATATTTTTTTGGCGAATGACAAATAAGTCCCATATATATACATATATATATATATATATATATGTATATGTATGTATGTGTGTGTATATATATATATATATATTTATATATATATATGTATATATATATATATATATGTATGTATGTATATGTGTGTCTATATATATATATATATATATAAACTATTCTACACCCGGGTATAGAATAGCTATTCTATACCCCCTCTTCCTTCCATGGGCTAAACCCACCTCCCACCTCGGTCAAAGGTCAGTCAAAGCGCCCCCACATAGGTCAAACCCGTGCGACTTCCTCCACAGCCTACCTCTTCTCAGCTCTCGTCATACAGGAATTATGCAGTAACGTGACAGTCATTGTGCAGTAACACCATGTATTACTTACAGTAACAACGTTAAAATATAGTTCAAATATAGTCATGACGAATCTAGTTTTGATAAGCACTTTTTTTACAACATTATGGTGAAAATGGTTTTTAAAAATAATGCATATCTTATGAGATATTGCTCTTCAAAAATTGACATTTTAAAGTTTATCCTCCACATGCAGTAACACTGTAGCATTACTGTTACTACCGCGTCTTCCGTGTTACTACAAGAGTACAGTAACGACTGCATGTTTTATAGTAACATAGTGTGTTACTGTAATTGCTTAGTAAAGTTACTGCATGAACATAGTAACAACCAATAAGTTATCGATGTTTTCTCAAGGAGAAAAAGACATTGCATGAGGGGTTGTTTAAGCCCTATTACATTCATATTTTCTTACTTGGAGCCTTCGAGAGAGAATGGTGATTGTTTTGGAGTTCTTTGTGAAGGATTGAGGGAGCAACGATTCGGGAGAAGAGGGGTGATTAGTCAGTCTACAACTTATTGACTCTTAATAGCAAGTCTACAACCTTTCTGTTGACTCCCCCCACCACCCACCTCTTCATAGCTCTCGTCTCACAAGAGTGCAGTAACAAGACGACCATTATGTATTAATATCATGTCTTACGTGTAGTAACAACGATCAAATATAGTCATGATGGATCTACTTTTGATATGCACTTTTTTTAATATCATGGTGCAAACGGTTTTAAAAATAGTACATCACATTAGAGATATTTCTCTTCAAAGATTAGTCTTTTGAAATTTAACTCTTCACAAGTAGTAATATTATACTATTACTTGTTACTACTTGTCTGTTGTACGTTGCTACAATCGCATCGCGATGTTACTATCAGTGTGCAGTAAACACTATAAGTTTTGCAGTAACAATGCGTCTTACTATAATCTTTGGATAGTGTTACTGTATAAACATGTGGTAACATGTACATGCCTTGCAGTAACACTTCCACTTTTGTGCATTAATTTAGTTCTCGTTCCGTAAGAACAACGTTGTAACATGATGGTTAACGTGTAGTGACATGATTGCTTTCCACAGTAACAACGTCAAAAAATAGTCATTATGGATCTAATGTCGTTAGACACTTTTTTATGAACATTATGATGCAAACATATTAGAAAAACAAGATATTATCTGAGAGATATTGCTCTCTAAAGATAGAGACTTACCTCTTTTTAGTTCTCGTCCCGTAGGAACGGTGCAGTAACACAATGGTCAATGTGTAGTAAAATGACTTATTTCCACAGTAACGACATCAAAAAATAGTCATGATGGATTTATTTTTGTTAAACACTTTTTTTATGAACATTATGGTGCAAACGTCTTAGAAAAATAAGATAGTATTTGAGGGATATTGCTCTCTAAAGATTGAGTTAAAGGTTTTAGCTCTAGACAAGCATTAATACCACTGTTACTGTTACACACGTTCTCTGTTACTACAATTTTCATCATGATGTTACTGCCGAAAGTGTAGTAACAAACTATAAGTTTTGTAGTAACGTATCATGTTACTGCACTTCTTCGATAACGTTACTACCGATATGATTCCTACAGTAACATAATTGATTTGTTCTCACAAAATTTGAACAGACATACAAAACAAAAAAACAAACAATAATGATCTCTAATCACATAGTGTCATAGGGTGAATGGGTTAGGAGAGCTTTGCATGAACAATGAGATCATGTGTTTAAATTTTGAATTCACCAAATTATTTTTAATTTTTCGAGAAAAGAGAAGAAAAAAAGGTTTATTCCTAAAATAAATGAGAGAAGGGAGAAAGAGAAAAAAAGCGAAGAAAATGAGAGAAGGGAGATTGGGAGGGAGAAAAAAAAGGAGAAGCCGGGAGGGGAGGAGGAGGGGAGGGAGCGATGGAGGTGGAGGGGAGGGAGCGAAAAAAAAGAAAATAGGGGAGGGGAGGAGTGCGCCGGGAAAAAGGGGGGAGGGGAGGAGCGCGCCGGGAGGAGGGGAGGGAGCGAAAAAAAAAGAAAGAGGGGGAGAGGAGGGGCGCGCCAGGAGAGAGAGGGGAGGATGGCGCGCGTAGGTGGTGTGGGACCGGGGGAGGGAGGGAGGGGGTATAGAATAACTATTCTATACCTCGGGTGTAGAATAGTCTTACCCTCTATCTCTCTCTCTATATATACACACACACACATATATATATAGACATACTATACTAGACCCAGGGTGCGTAATAACTAAAATGCTCCCCCTCACAACCCCCACCCCCCCACCCACCCCCACCATCAACCCAGCAGTGTCACCAATCCCCACATATGCAAGATGTACCCCATAACCGCCATCGCAAGGACCCCTTTTTTTATTCCGACCGCAACTCATCGAAAGTAATTCATTTACTGAAATCATACAGACGCACACGTCTCAATTAGTAACATGCTTACTAGGCTAACATTTATATTGCCGCAGACCATGATATGTCAAAACGGAAACAGCGGAAACAAATCGCCGCAAAAGGGCTGGTTTCCGTTTTACAGTCTCTCTCCTTTATCCTCACACTCAACCATCCACCGTCATTCCCCACTTACCACGCTCTCCTCCCCGTCTCCGTCGTCTCCGCCCATAACCGATTTCGTCGGTATCCCTTATCCGGGTACGGCGGCGTGCACTCCCCCCACCCACATTCTAGTTGCCGACGACCACGGCGGCCGCATCGAGGAAGTCCACCGCACCATCGGCGGCTAGCCGCGCCAGAGGCGGATAGCACCTCGACGGCGGCGCCTAGCCACGACCGAGGCGGCCACCCCCCGGGCGGCCATCACTGGTACGTACGGCGGCGCCTAGCCGACGACCGCGGCGGCCGCTTCGAGGAAGTCCACCGCGCCATTGGTGGCGGCTATTCGCGGGCGAGGTGGAAAGCACCCAGACGGTATGCCTAGCCGCGACCGAGGCGGCCACCACCCTGGATACCCTCATCGGTACGCGCGACTGAGGAATCAACACACGCACACCAGAGCTACACTCATTCTAGCA